ATCGGAAGAACCCCAAGCCAATCGCTGAGGAAGTGTTGCGTCTTCCCATTTTTGAACGAGACACGAGACAACCGGTTGCCGCTTACCATTAAAAAACTTGAACCGCCCTCAAGTTGAAGGGCCCATGTGACCTGTGACCCAGGTGGTTCTGGCCTCTTACCTGGGCCAAGCCTGGGAGGTGGCTCTGGCACTTGTGCAGGATGCCATGGATGCTTCGGGAGGTACCTTGTGGCGGGCTTCCGGAGGGTGAAGTTTGAGGGGGGGGGGGGGGGGAACACGGACTTCATGGAAAGGAGTGAGTTTGGGACTCAGTCCGTTGTACTTTAGTTTGACAACACTGGATCATCCCGGCAGGGTTTGCTTTGATTCCGGCAGAGTCTGTAGGCTTAGACGGGCTTTGTAACGCTCGAGAGCCCAGCAGTGGACAACACAGTGGTGCGAGCAGCAGACACGATGAATCCTGCATCTAGCGATTACCCGCAGTCTGGTACTGACGCAAAAAAAGCCTTCACCCCTCACCCCCAGACCCGAAACCCAACTCCCCCGACACCGAAGCTGAAGGCTCTGGGCTTTACATCGACTTCTGGGACAGGGCGATAAGCGCCTGCCGCAGCGCGGGACAATGGCAGGTGGTATCCTATTTCCTGGGGTGCATGCGGCATGGAGGTGTCCATGCAGATGCTGTCTGCTATGCGAATGCTATGAGCAGCTGCCTCAAGGGTTTGGAGCCTGGGAACCCAACGGGACTTGCTTTTAGAAGATAACACAATGTCTCACTGTTCAGAGATTGGTTCGATATTTTGCGTTCTCCCTGGCCCTGCGGTATCCGGGACACAGATCACAAGCTACCCGAGCCCAGCCCAGGAGTGGGAAGCCTCTATGTCCTTCCACAGACAGATGTGCATGGACGGCACCGAGCCAGATTTGGTGTGTAAGGGAGCGGTGTTGACTGTGTGCAAGCAGCTCCACATCTGGCAACGAGCCCTGGTCTTCCTATCTTCGGCATTTACAGAAGACTGGGCAGACTTAGCACTCTTTGTTTGGGTTTGTGGTTGTCGACGGTATTGGCTGGCAGTGTCTATGGACCCAAACGCCCAAGACCTGCAGCCTCCAAACCCTCAACGCTTTTCGGAGCCTGTTTAGGAACCCTAGTAGGAAGCCGTATGCGAGCCCTTCAAGGAACCCCTACAGGAAGCCTTTTAAAGCTTTGAGAACCCAAGGGCAGGGAGCCGCCCCCCAACGACGCTGCTTGGCTGACACAGCCCCCGAAGGGATGATGGGACCTTCTTTCAGCGCGTTGATGGCAGACCGTGAAGCTCGAACACTGCCTGCCTGTAATATGAGTCATTGTAGTGCTAGTAAAGTAAGAATCAGCATCGTTATCAGAATCATTATCGTAATAACGATATTGATAACTATAATTGGCAATAATCACGTTTTGATGCTGTTGCCAATTCCGGTACCTATACTGCTAGGGTTATTCGTGTTATTTTGACCGATCATGAACCAAAATGGCAGATTCGTGTCAGCGACATGGCCAGTATGAATGCAGTGGTTCAGTCGTCCGCCTCACGCAAAAGACCTACCAGGTTTACCAAGCGTCCCGTCGAAGTTGCGTGCAAACATTTTGCTGTATGGATTTTGTGACAGTCAGCGGTGGATGTCGTGGATGCAAAACATACAGCCTAATGCGCGTCAAACTTACACGCCGCAGCCAGCCGCAGTCCTGATCATAGGGATAAGTGTCACAGTGCGTGTTTCAGTTGTTCTGCTGTGGCACACACGGGTTTACTCAGGTGTACATCTGCAGGTGTGCGTGGACATCAATCTGTCCAGAGGGTGTTGTGTTTCTCTACAGAGCTGTACAGAGAAAGATATCATATACTTCGCATCGTGTACGATGCAACCAGGGCATGGGTGCGGATGGCATGTTCATGTCAACTGCCAGTACGTGAATTCGCCACCATCATGATGCCTAAGACGTGGTACCACATGCAAAGACGGAGCAGCTCTGAACACTTCGTCCCTTATGACAGATACCCCGGCCAAGAGCATGGCTCACGTGCAGCACCTGCATGCCTGCTCATGCCATCTGTAACTATGCAAGGGGCGAGGGTGGACCCCGTGTGGACCTGTGGCTTGTTGTTTGCTCCTGTCCTACTGGGGCAAAAAGCTCAAACAATCATGTCACACAGTGTGGTTCGGTACGCCTGAGTGAGATGAGAATTATCTCTTCCCCCAACTCATCACCCTCAACGCCACACCAAGATTTGCTTCAACGCGACCTTGGCTTGCATGGCCACTGCCGACCAGTGGGAGGTGCTCGGCAACGGGTTGGGTTTGAGGCATCCGCTAGGCGCTTTTCGGTTTCGTACTATTTGGCCTCGGTTGAGGCTTTGGCACCGGAAGGCTTGCTTTGTATGCACATCGCTATCTTTACCTCTTGTGGTGGAGAATGGAGGAAAGGCCACCGGAGCCTGTGATCGCAAACCTTGCAATACCTGCTGTTCCAAAGTACGTTGACCAGAAGAGGCAGATGAGTGCAAAACCCTGTGAGACCATGACGGCACATGCAACAGACACGCCAATTTTCCCAATGCCTGAGAGGCCTGCATGACACTTCTTGCAGCGGTAGAGTGCCAGCTTCAACGCCCGGATGCTGTCACTCGGAGTCGTGCTCATATTGCAGTTCTTGGGTTTTGGACTCTTCTTCTGGGTTCAAGAGTAGGTTTCAGGACAGGGGCGGTGTGGGACCTGTTCAAGACGATCGGTGCTTCCTTGAGAGATCTATTGCCGCGTGGATTCTGATACTACGATTCGGGACTCCGGTGATCTTTCAGTCTACGACCACTTAAGCCCAAAACCCTAAGACCCGAAGACCCTAAGACCCTAAACCCTAAACCTTATTTATAAACCCTAAGACCCTAAACCCTAAGACCCTAAACCGTACCTACCGCAGATTCTGCCTGGGAGACCGCTCGAAAGTCAATGATGATACCATAAATTGGGCCTTGATAATTATCCTTATTATAGTTACAGAATAATATACCCCAAAACCCGATTCTCACTATTCAGGCCCCGAAATTAACCCCATAAACCTGGCAACCCATAACCTTATCAGGGAGCCGAACCTCGAAAACGAGTGAAGTGATTTAGGGTTTAGGGTTAGGGGCTAAGGGGCATAGCTGCCTGAATAATTGCCAAGTTCTATGTACTATAGTTACTATAAACCTATTCGAACTCTTAAGGCTCCTACGTCAGTAAGTTCTGCATGCCTGAAGGTGCCATGACGACGACTTAAGACGTTAAGACTTGGCCACGCGAAATTCAGCGGTCGCTGCGCTAGTGATTGGGCAATATACCAACGGGTCGGAGGAAGATCCTTAGGGTTCCTTATCATCGTCAAAAAGTAGGATATATCCCCAAAACCCTGTTCAAGTTATCAAGGCCCCTATATTATGTCATATTTGGAGGATCCCGGGCTTCGAAGCTGCCTACGGACTGCTAGAAGCTCGACGATGTCCCAATGCGAAGTTGGGGACCTTAGACTCCCCAAACCCTAAACCCCTAACCGTTCGAATGCACATCTCAATCAAGCAGTCCGAAAACCGAGACGCCCAACCCTACATGGCTCCACAGACGAAAACATGTCTGTCAAGAGGAGCACAAACGCCTAACCGCCGATTTTGCACCTGGTAACTGGGAATGGCAAGGCAGCAGACAGCAGAGGGAGGTTCAGGATATTATGTCCCAATGATCAGCTTATATGTACTAGATTAGGATTATAATTCCTAATGATTACTATCAGTCTCATCCCTAAACCCCAAACCCTAAACTCTGAACCCTAAACCCTAAACCCTAAGTCTCAATTTAGGCGCAGTTCTCTTTAGGGCCGATAGAGCGGAGGTGACCTACGGAGCCTTGCTGCCGGCCTTCGAAAGGCGACGAGGGGGGAAGCCCAATATAGGGGCCTTAATAATTAGAATAGGGTTTTGCCCAAAATAGTATAGGTAATCTGGGTCCTTGTTGGATACAATTTTACATTTTTGTTATAATAATACCCTAATAAGGATTAAAAATGATCATTTTTAATATAGCCCCAACAAGGAACCAATGATGTCAAAACCCAAGAGCCAGGATTTACTCTAAAAGGTGTAGGGTTTAGGGTGCAGTGTTTTAGGGTTTTAGGGCTTAGGGTTTAGGATTCACTCTAAAGGGTTTAGGGTGCAAGGCTTTAGGGCTTTAGGGTTTTAGGGTTTAGGGTTTAGGATTCACTCTAAAGGGTTGAGGGTGCAGGGTTTTAGGGCGTTAGGGTTTTAGGGTTTAGGGTTTAGGATGCACTCTAAAGGGTTTAGGGCTTAAGGTTTAGGATTCACTCTAAAGTCCTGAGCCCCAAACACTAAGCCGCAAACTCCAAGCCATCGATGCCCTAAACCTTCAATGAGCTTGAGGCTTCGATGACAGGGAGACTCGATGGTGTGTTAGAGGTCGTTTGGGTCTTCGCGCGGCTCAGGCGATCTTGAGGGGTGTCGGTTTGGTCATCTGAAACCAAAAACCCTAAGCCCTAACACCCTAAACCCTAAAACCCTAAACCCTACCACCCTAAACCTTAAGCCCTAAAACCCTAAAACCCTAAACCTTAAACCCAAAAACCCTAAAACCCTAAAACCCTAAACCCTAAAGCCCTAAACCCCTAAAGCCCCAAACCCCTCAACCCTACACTGTGAGCTTCCTTGGTCGTTGGCATTATGCACACTATAGCCTTGTCATTGCACAAGACTCCCTTGCAAAACCTTGACGGGAACCCATATGCCCGGATGAACACTTGTAACAAAAACCCGTATGCAAATCCTTAAACCCCTTATGGATTTCTATGGAGCCCCTTAGAAAAAAGAGCCTTATACAAATCCTTAAACCCCTCATAGAATTCTTACGGAGCCCTTACGGGCCCCATAGATATCCTTAACCTGACCCTGATCTAGGACTTATAGAAGGTCTATATACCTTATATACCCTAAACCCACCTGTATAGAAGTTAGAAGCTTTATAGAAGCCTTATATACCCTAAACCCACCTGTAGTTTGATTGAACCTGACCCCCGTGTTTCTCACTCCGCAAGCCACGGCGCAGGCGACGCAGCTGGTCCGAAGCCCTGGCTCTTCTCGTGGCTCCCGAGGTCGGCATTAGCCGGAGCCCCAGGGACTACTACGGTTGATGATCTAAATCCTGCACTACCTCAAGGACCCTAAACCACGGGAATTATGGTATATTCCTTATTATGGCTAATGCAGAACTTGTATCATCAACCGTACGACTCAAGTTTTGGCATTAGGCTTAGGGCTTTGAGTAAACTTTACATGTCGAAGAGAGTGCTTTTGAAGGTTTGTTCTGCGATTGTAGAGTTTTGGGCTTGGGGTAGTTGGACATTTTGGGTTTGGCGTGGCGGAAATTTAACATGCGAAGGGGTTTAGTGGACCTACCGATTGTTTTTTTTTAAGTACTTGCCGTGGGCATTTCGAAGTCTAGGTGCTGTACACATTCGATGTGTTCAAGTTGTGTTGTATCGGTGTTTGGTGGCAGTATGAGATCAGCATTGTTTTGTATAGAATGCGGGAGCAATTCTACAAAGTATTAGTAGCCACCCTAGACCCTAAACCAGGCTTCCACTTGCCATAGTTCGTTTGGGGTTGAGTTGTTCTTCGGCTCGCTCGCGGGTTTGAGGGATTCAGGATTTCTGCCAGAGGCTTTCAATCCTAAACATTTCGCCCTAATACCGGGGCCTAAATACTTACCAATACTATGTTAAGAGTTCCTTACTATAAGTGTCGTATAAGGGGCCCCAAGACCCTATTCTAATCTTTAAGGCCCCTATATGAGAGTTCGAGATTTTGGCTTCGCCTAGTGTTGCAACGGAAGGCAGAACGACCAGAGCTCCAAGACCGGGGTGTGAGGAGGCTTCGGACCTCTAGGGTTTATAGTTTAGGGCATGGGGGGGGGGGGGGGGGGGGCGCTTAAAGTAAAGGGGCCTATAATAAGGTTTAGGGCCTTAGGGGTTTACGGTTTGGGGTTTAGGTACAGTAAAGGGTCGATAGGGTTTAGGGCATAGTTAAGGGCTTAATTTTTATGAGATTATAGTTACTACTGGCATCCTCTGGGGCTGGGCCTGCGCAGATCAGGTGCCTTCAACGCGGCATCAAGTGACTTAGTCGAAAACGATGTTTTTTGGTGTTTAGGGTTTAGGGTTTGTATGCGATGGATAGGAATTTGGAGCTTCGCAAGGCTGAAAACTGAGTGCTGTTGCGGCTGAAGTTCTTCCTGGGAGCACTCCCTCGCCAGCCCCCCTGAAACATGCACCGAATTTGAATCTGCAAAGCTTTGCAGAAGCCGTGGACTCCTGAAGCCAACTATTATTGCTATTATTACTTTTTTTTGGCCTGGCGGCCTCCTATTGATGCGGGCAGCACGCAGAGCAGACAATATCTCCCAAAACACTCCCCTGTGTAGCTGGGTCCGTGTTGGATACAATTTTACATTTTTGTTATAATAAAACCCTAATAAGGAGTAAAAATGATCATGTTTAATATAGCCCCAACAGGGAACCAGGTAGGGCCTGCACACCTTTCCGGTAGGGAAGGCAACCTCAACTTGCATCACAATAAAATACCCGAACCGTCCAGGTACCTACTAATGGAGGGTACTAGAGCCCCTGGGGCCCTATATAGTAGGTACCTGGAGGGTTAGGGATAAACTGTAAAGACGAAACCATAACTTCTAAACACTAAACCACTATAGCCTCGGCCCTGATCCTGTAGAAACCCTCAACCCCCAGAGCCCTCCACCCTTTGGGGTTTGGGTTTAGGGTTTCAGTTTAGGATTTCGGGTTTAGGATTTAGGGTTTCGGGTTTAGGTTTTACGGGTTTAGGGGCCCCTAGATCCCAAGCTCTCAAAGGCATTTGCGAGAAGGCTGGCGTCTGGCTGACAGCTCTCGATCTGTGCTCCCGGATGCCCTCCAGGAGCCTTTAGGGAGGCTTTAACATAGAAGCCTAAATAATTACCAATACTATTCTTAGGGCTCCTTTAATTACAGTATGATCTACCCCCCATTCATTAAGGCCCCTGCATTAGAGGGTTTCTGGGTTTATGTAAGGGATACTAAGAGACCTACCACCGGCATACTACAAGAGTTTCAAGCTTTGGGCTAGGGGGTGATCGATTCTGGTGTTTGGGAGTTCGGGTCTCGGGGCATCGGGAATTGATGTTGGTGCTCGGGACTTCAGGACCTCTCCGGTTGCCGGAGTTTTTTTTTTTTTTT